CCGATAGGTGGAAGGTTTTCCGAGCAAACAGAAAATGATGAAAGTCTTTTCCCAGTCCGGGATGATACACTCTACACAACTACACTCAACATCTTACTCGTAGTTAAAACCCCAAAATGGTGGTGTCTTACCTTGCCTGTGCTGTCCCCGGGGGAAGAAGCCAAAATGCTGCTACAGTGACAACGTTCGGTGTGCCCGGGAAAGCTAGGGAGGAAAGGCGTACACATCCATGTGGGTCCATGAGATCGATAAGGCGTCAATGGCCCAGGCGCCTAGTATCGGCAAGAGTGTAATGTACATCGGGAGCTTGGCAAACAGGTCTATCTTTGGACCATCTCACAGCCGAAACAGCCTGGAGGCTACCCACTGTGGTATCTGCCACTCCGAGTTCTGGAGACGGGGTCGCTTCGAAAGGGCGTCTGCCAGACTGTTCCTCACCCCTGGAAGGTGGTGTGCGGTTAACTCCACATTGTATTCCAGGCACGAAAGGAGAATTTGCTCTGCTAGGACTAACAACAATGGGGAACGTGTCCGCCCCTCCTGTAGAAAACCACCGCTGTGTTGTCTGTGCGGAGCAGGACTTTGTGGTCTCGAACTTCGGGTAGAAAGCGTAGTAGTGCTAGGTGCACTGCTTTCAGCTCATGCCAGTTGATATGGCGGTCCCGAACCCAATGAGGGGAGCATATTCTTTGGGCTTGTTTGTCCAATAGATGCGCTCCCCACCCTTGGAGGGAGGCGTCTGTTACCAGAGTCATAGCTGTGACGAGTGGGTCCAAGAGGACCAACTGCCCGAGGTTGGCCCGAGGTTGGCTTCCTTCGCTTGGTCCGTGATCAAATCTCGTCTGTCTAGTCCCGTAGGTGAGCTCGGTGTTCCAATAATAAGCGCAGCCGGGTGGCTGCGTAACGCGACGTCATCATTCCGATGATCCGCATTAGTTCTCGGAGAGACAAAGAGGGAACGCTGACTAGGCGTTTGGCTAGGCTGCTTAGCGCTAGGCAACGTTCCTGAGATGGTGAAGACGTAGGGTGCTGTGCATAACTTGAAGGAGAGCACCCAAAATTCTATACTTGGCCCAGGTGGGCGAATCAAAGGAGATGGCAACTCACTGGGTGCATCGGTATGTGCAGGTACGCATCGCTTAAGTCTAGAGAAGCTAGCCAGTCGAACCGGTGAATGGAGAGAAGAACGATGAATGGCCTCTCCATGCAAAACCGATCGAGGAGCATGTACTGATTTAGTCTGCTTAAGTCCAGAACTGGACACCAGCCGCCTGTAGATTTTGGTGGATTTGAGTAGAAGCCCGGACTTAGTGCCGGCTGAACTGCCCTGTTTACGGCGCCCTTCTCCAGCTAACTACTTCCTGTCTGATTGCTTCCGCCTTGCGGGGATCCCCTGACAGGGGGGCACTGACATGGGAGGTGAAGATGTCAGTGGTATTCTGTAGCCGAGTGTCACTACCTGGAGCGTCCAGGAATTGGTCACCCGCTGTCTCCAAGCCGGAATGCACCGGCACAATCTGTGTGCAACAGGGATATGTGGCCATGGGTTCAGAGGTTGCAAGGTGGGGGGTGAGGGGGTTCTCTCCTCCCATGAGGTGAGCTTCCCCGGTGTCTACTGAAGTTACTAAGTTGTAACCTGGCCCCTCGCCAAATCATATGCCCACCCCCTTGTTGCATTGTAAGCTGGTCCCTTCTTTCCCGAGGGCGCGGGCGCTAGCAGGCGTTGCCTTAGGGCGTTGTGTTTTCTGTCCTTGGGGCACCCTTCGTTTACCCTTGGCAGCGGCCAACTGGCCAGCGATTTCGCCCTGAACCATCTGGCTTGTTACACCCCGAAGCTCGATACTGCACTGCCATCTCCCCATCAAAGAGGGTGGATGATGTAAACCCGAACCCCGCACACAACTGACACATAAGTAGCATTTTGCATGCGGGTTCTTATCTGGTAAATTCTGTGCACAACCACTATAAGCCTGTTTCAAAACTTGAGGGGACAAAACTGGCGGCGAGCCTCTGGTGCTGTCAGTACATCTATCCATTTCTAAATTCATTGGTAAATAAAATGAAGATGACATGCATGAGGGAAGCGAATTACAGTTGTAAAAGGTGACGCAACAAAACCAACAAGTGATTAACGCCGGGTTTTATTTCTTTGTTGTGAAAAATGCTATAAACAAAGGGGAAAACGACACAAGGGTAAAAATGACAAGGAAAACTTATCCTACCAGCTACAATGTCGGATGCCGTGGCAGTGGCAACAACCCAAGCTAGAAACCCGGACAGGAAAAAGCAGGCGATCCAGGCAGAGTCGCTAAACTTCATCTCCGTTGATGCGGAGATAAAGGAAGAGTGAATACCCAGCCATAATGGCACCGCCATATGGCCTCGGCCACGTGGTTTATGACGTAAGGGAAAAGAATCTTGGGGTTATGGGGCTTCCCCTGACCTAGATTCTATCTCTCCATCATTGGCAGAATCGCTGATTAATGCCTACAGTTCAAAATAGTCATTTTGACTGACCGGAGTCTATGGTGGGTAATTGAATGTAGTGAATTTGGACAGTTGTGGAAAAAAAGAAAAAATCAACTTTTCAAAATCAGTATATACAAAGCAGCAGATAGGCATGCATACTTTACATTCCTTATATAAGATAAAAAACTTCTATGTTTTCTATGTGTTCTTTGCTTGGGAATGCTTTTCTAATAAACAAATACGTTAAAAGCATTATGCTGTAAGTTTTTCTATTTACATCATTTTGACATTTCTTCTCTCTCTCTAAATATTGGTTGCCAGGTGAACATTACTAATTTTAAAATGTCATTGTTTTTCTCTCCTCGCTATCAGTATGTTGACAAAGCGCATATTACGCAATTTTAATTAATCTATAATTAATTTACAACAAGCAGCCTATCGGCTGAGATAGCTCCGCTGTTAGAAATGCACATTTCAATTAAAGAACTGAAGACATCATCAGAAAATTAACAATATGTATAGTATCAAAGCAATCGGACTTACAGTTTTTAACCAGAAGTCGAAAATATCACTTTCTACCAAAAATGACTAAAATATTCACCAAAATTAGAGAATTGAAGATATCATCACGAAATGAACAAATCTGAGAAAGGTCTACATGTAGTATCTATATATGTAATATCAAAGCAATTGAACTTTTGGTTTTTAACAAGAAGTCGAAAATATCACTTTTTACCAAATATGACAAAAATATTCACCAAAATTATAGAATCCAAGATATCATCACGAAATGAACAAATCTGAGAAAGGTCTACATGTAGTATCTAAATATGTAATATCAAAGCAATTGAACTTTTGATTTTTAACAAGAAGTCGAAAATATCACTTTTTACCAAATATGACAAAAATATTCACCAAAATTATAGAATCCAAGATATCATCACGAAATGAACAAATCTGAGAAAGGTCTACATGTAGTATCTAAATATGTAATATCAAAGCAATTGAACTATTGGTTTTTAACAAGAAGTCGAAAATATTACTTTTTACCAAAAATTACAAAAATATTCACAAAAATTAGAGAATTGAAGACATCACAAAATGAACAAATCTGAGAGAGGTCCACATGTAGTACCTATATATGTAATATCAAAGCAATTGCACTTGAGGTTTTTAACAAGAAGTTGAAAATATCACTTTTTACCAAAAATGACAAAAATATTCACCAAAATTAGAGAATTGAAGATATCAACATGAACTGAACAAATCTAAGATAGGTTTACCCAAGGTACATATACACCAAGTATCAAAGCATTCAGGCTTGTAGTTTTCAAGAAGAAGTCGAAAAAGTAAAACATTGACACGGACGACGGACAATCACTCATATGATAAGCTCCGCTCGACAAAGTCGACAGCGGAGCTAAAAATATTCACCAAAATTAGAGAATTGAAGATATCATCACGAAATGAACAAATCCGAGAAAGGTCCACATGTAGCATCTATATATGTAATATCAAAGCAATTGGACTTGCGGTTTTTAACAAGAAGTCAAAAATATCACTTTTTACCAAAAATTACAAAAATATTCACCAAAATTAGAGAATTGAAGATATTATCAAGAAATGAACAAATCTAAGAGAGATCTACCTCAGGTACATACACACCAAGTATCGAAGCATTCAGGCTTGTAGTTTTCAAGAAGAAGTCGAAAAAGTAAAACAATGACACGGACGCCGACGGACAATCACTCATATGATAAGCTCTACGCGACAAAGTCGACAGCGGAGCTAACAAATTCTGTCTGATCTGCAACTCAAATAATTACTAATGTTCAAAAAGTTTGACTACTACAACTACATGAGTATGGTCAGTTGTCAAGAAAATGGATAAAATGTTACATTAGATAATCCGTTCTTAATCCCTGATTTGTACACCCATACGAGAAGGTTGCTAAGTGATCTTCAACTATTTTTGTTGTCACAACTGATGTAAACGATGATGAACTTGATACAAATCGAGTATTTTGACAACTTGATCGGCATAACTGTGTATAGATTTGATATTTTAACATCACAGGTACATTTACTGCACAGTTAAGACAACATTGTCACTTTACTCTGGGCACAACCAATCACGTCAACAGTTAATGACATGACAGGAGTGTCACCAACAAACAAGACAGCTGATGACAGCTGATCTTAATGTGCAAGAAAACAAGTTTTGAAATACGGAATACATCTATTGAAAAAAACACTCAAAAGTAGTGGCATGTCAATTTAGCAAATTTGGATTCTTTCTTTTTTAACTTAAATTAACTGAGACGTTACTTTACAGAATCTAGATTAGCTAAATTTACTATAGTAAGATGCGAGATGAGTAGTATCAGTATATTAAGTACATAGACGTAGTTGCTCCAAAATTACATGTACATGAAAATAAACAACTAAAAATTGACTCTCTGATCCACAATTTGCGAGGGAGGACAATTGAAGCTTAGGTATAGTAGATAATTGGTCATAGCATTAAAGAATCAGAGAGACAATCTTTATCTATATATGCATACAATTTGAGGATAAAATCAAAATTTGATAAAAGCACCAGTCTTACACCAGTAGCCACAATTAAGTATACAAACACCCAAGATTGAACAGCTACTGTAGAATACTTTATTTTCGTTTGGAATTTATTTTCGCTATTTTCGCTGATGGGAGGATTCCGTGAAAATAAAATCCAGCGAATATACTTTTTTTCATATATTTCACATTAAACTCATCAAAAATCAGTGAAAATAAATTCCATACAAAACACTCAAAATGCCTTTTCAGCGATAATTAATTCCAGCGAAAATAAACTATTCCACAGTATTTGGTTTCAACCAAAACAGGTACTTTTATCTGTACATTGATTGCTGGTGATATATGCGCATTTACATTAAATAAGGATTGAATGTTACAAACTCTGGGAAGGAAAAACAAATTTGCACAGGGGAAAAAATCCTGTATGCCTAAATCAGAGGGGAGGGGGGGGGGGCATTACAGCAAATTCATCATGGGGAAAAACAGTAGCAGTGAAGGAACAATATTTTGCAGTTTATCTACTTGCCTTATTACTGGCTAGTCATTAGGCAAAATCTCTCAAAAATGATTTGTTTTACTCTATACTTCTATGCTCAATGAAAGTTCTTCAAATTAACTATCTGCCAAGTTTAATATGAATACCACAGAGTATAGCAAATATTTGTCTATTTTCTAAAGCAGCAAAAACAATTTTTGAAGAATTTGGCAGTGATATCATATGGTTCACAAATTGGACATTTCTTATTAGTGCAATACATTGTGGATGTCAAATTACAATATATATTGAAAAGATTCTTTTAAATGAAACCACTTTTGACAACCTTGAATATGACAATACACATAAGAATGCAGAGCAAAAAAGGTGAACCAAACTATCAACAGTAACAATGGTAAATTACATGGTATAATAAGAACATAAACTCAAGGTTTCAGGAAATATTCTAAAAAGATAAAGAATTTGACAACACAATAGGTAAACAAGGTCTGCAATTAATATGAGTTGCATAATACACACAAGATTTGAATTGCATATATATCTAGCATACCTTCTACATCCAGATATAGCGAACATAGTGTTTGTGGCATCTAATTTTTTAAACAATACATCTAGTGTATCTAGAAAGTGTAACCAAGGATGAATAAAATGAATGAAAGTATTTAGCCATCCTTGCAACAAGTCTCTTGTCACATAAATGTGATAACAGAAGATGAGATTAGCAAATGACTGAACCCCAGGAATGGAGCATTGGTAAGAACATGGATCAGAAGACTTGTTTTTAAGAAATGAAAGATGTAGACAAGTAGGCTCACAAGAATTGAAATCTAGAATAAAAGTGAAATAAATTCCATCACAATAAATGAAGTGCTTTTTGTAGCATATCCAACAACAACAGATGAAGTTACACCAAATCTCATCTATGCACAACGCATTTTCATGCAGTAAGATACATGCTTATATTTAAACTTAAAAATTTAAATAATAAAGTATAATCTGATGTGACATTTCTATGTGACATTTCTAATGCAGGTTGACATCCTATCCTAAGTGAACAGGAACAGATTGTAATGGGTTAAAAACTGGCCACTGAAAGTGTTCACATTATTGCTGTAATACAGGACAAGGTAAATTGAACTTATTGTACTCAGATGTCATGTTTACAAATAATATACAACATAGTTGAACTCTGGTGACCTTGCCCTTTGTTATATAATATAATTCCCTTTATCATAGTTTGATTCAATATAAATATGCATTGTCATAATTAATTTTGAATACAAACAAGTTTTGGGGTAGAACCAACAGTGGGGAATGAGTCTACCGAATGTCCTTAAAAGATGTAAGTATCTTACAAAAACATTGGTGCCTTATTTGTTTAATTATTTTAAGGGACATAATTTCCAGCTTTATTCAAAGTAATTCAGATATTTTAGTATAAAAACAAATGTCTCATTGCAAAAAAAAAGTGCTGCATTTAGATTTGAATAGATT